CAACTTAAGTTTTATCCCAAATTTATCAATTATGTTGTCAGTCTTTCAAGGATAGTTCACTAGCAGAAGTCCCTCAATATGAGAACAGGAAACCAGCGGGGAGGAGGCTCCCCTCAACAGAGGAGATCACAGTGGACACAAATGCCCATTACACCCGCAAGGGTGAGTAACAGCATGACAACAAACTCCGCTGCCTTGGTTCTGAGGAAGAAGGAAGGACTCGTGATTATTACCATGAAAAAGACAACTCTTGCATTAGATCTTAGAGGGTAGGAGACACAGCACAAAACAGGGGAGTTGTAGAGGCTTCCATGGCAGAAACATTGCAAGAGAGTAGGATAGAAAAGTTGAAGAGGAAGTGAGTCGTCTCAGTTCTATCATCACTGCTTTCCTTCATGGAACAACGTACATCCTTGTGTTCACCACATACCTCTGAAAAGAAGCACAAATTATCTTTAATGCACACATGTTAAACCTTGTAAACATGTAATTAGGAAAAACACCATCATCGCATGGCTCTTCAATGATATTAAAATCTTTTAGACTGCACACACTCAAAGATAGTACAATGGTAGCCCTCCTTACAATCTTTAGTTAGCTAGCTGTCAGGAAAATAAAGAAATCTATTTATTATGCAAATTTAATTCATTAAAAATTCATCTCAAGTGAGAGTCGGGAGTGAGCACAGTAGAATGCTAATAATCTTTAAAGGTAATACCTTCGGATAATGACTCTCACTGTCAGGTCTGGCCTGGATCTTGGGCTCCACTGCTGTGCACTTCCCATAACCGAAACATCTGGCTGCAGCCTGTGGGATACCACTTAAACCAAATCTTTGTGACTTAAAATGGAGGTGGCCACATGGGTAATCAGGCCTGCATGGTTCCCATTCTGATAACTGAGCTTTTGCCTGTCAGTCTCAAAATCTGGCTTCCACGTAGGACACGGGCTTCTGAGGGGCAGGGCCTGCTTTCCACTTGTGCATCTTCTCTCCAGGAGCAAGTTACAGTACCTCCGTCAGCCCCATCACTGGTCCTATTTTAAACATGAGAAAACCTCTCACCTCTCAGGGACTGTGGTGAGGATTAAATGAGATGTAACGCACTAGGTAAACCCCTACTGTCCTTCCTCCTCTTCCTAGGCATTTACTGGAAAAGGCCACATATTGTATTTATCATCCCAAGGATCTAAGTCACTTGGTGACAAATCTGTTCAGCCATCTGCTCTAGCATTTAGAAGCTCCAAATATGCAACCAACGCAGGGCACATCCCAGGCAAATGCACTACAGTTCTCACGTGATGTTGGATGACCCTCTGAATGGTAACAAGATTCCCCAAGAGGATTTAAGAGCGTGCAGACATTTCTGTGGAGCTAGTTACAAAAATATGTCTTCTATGAACCATAGATTTGCCTTTTCTGGCTGTTTTGTACTATTTTACTCCACTGTATACACACCCAGCGGCTAATTATGTAAACTCTGGCACTTACTAACTGATGGAGTGACTTTTAGCAAGTTACTTATTCTCTCTGAATCTCGGGCAGCTCATTTTAAAATACAATTATAGCCTATATCTCAAAGAATGATTGAAAATAAAATGCGATGATGTATCTAAAGCAGCAGTTCTCAAGCACTTCTGGCTCAAAACTCCTTTAACCCTTAAAAGTTATTGGGAATCATATCGTATGTCCTCTGTCCAGAACCTCCACTCTTTTGACCCCTTTGCTGATGCAAGTAAGGGTGATGCTCTGCTTCCTGCTGGTGCCAA